GGACTTTAAGGTCTCTTATCCAGTCCAGAGCAGACGGGGTAGGCCTTGTGAATAGATGCAAAATGAACATGAATTGGGCAGGCATCCATGATGTGTCCAGCAGTTTGCATTATGCCACAGTTTGGCAATTCCCTCACTTTTCATCTGTAATGAAATAGTGTTAATACAATAATATTTACCAGTTATTAAAGTTCAAACTTTCTGACGTGGCTATTAATCTGAGGTGCCTGTTTCTGAATGACCAAATTTAGACATGTAGGGTAGGAATTTCAAAAGTCAATGAGGGGATTTTATGTCCTACTCTCATTGAAACTCAGTGGGACTCCGGCTTCTAACTCCCATGGATGACTGAAAATAGTAGCCATGGAAACTCTGGGATTCAGCATATCTGAAAATCAGCCTCTGCACACCTAAAAGTTGGTCATAACAAAAAAAATCTGATGCTCACTACAGCCTCTAAGTGTATTCTTTCCTGTGGCTCCCTTCTGCACCATAGACCACACATGAAAAGGTGTTTTAAAGGGAGTAGTTATTGAGGGAAGCATTTAGTAAAGCTCTATCAGGGAAGAAAGAAAGAATATAGAAGCACTGGTTTTGGGCCTGTATCTCAGGCAGACTGAGGGGCCCAAAACACTCATTCATTTTTTTGTTGAAGCGAGACAGAAAATGCCTGTGACTAAATGACTGTGGGAAAACAAGGAGACAATTTGGTGTTCATTTATGAAGTTGGACACTCTCAGAAACACCCACCTTACTAAAAATAAAATATTAGTATCTCTGATCCCCTTGTTACAGAGTTAACCTTTTGGGGAACAGGGGGCAACAAGTAACTTTATTCTGTTTGTGCAGTTAGGTTCAGGTCCATGACTAGGACTATGAGATGCTACAACACAATATAATAAAACATTAGTGCCTTTTATCTATCACTTGAACTAGGCCAAAGGCTCAGTGACTTGCTATTGACCCCCAGCCATCCCACCTCCTACAAAGATTAGATTTCATTAAGACCATACTACTATTCTGCTTATGCAGAGGAAAACCTGAGCTGTAATTAGATAAGAGCTGCACACAGGTGGTTTTGCTTACCATTTAGCACACACAAATTAAGGCTCTTCACTGTTCAGCAAGTTCATTCCATACTTCCCAGTCCACTTCATTAAGTGGAAGATGCTGGAACCAAGACGTGGAAGATGCTACCACAGAGCACTCAGGTCACACGTAAAAGTCTCTCAGTGGACAAACATTCTGTAATTTAAAAGAAAGAAAATTACAGTCCCCACACCTTTCAACCAGATGTCTTTGCTTTCTCCTTATTAAATTGATTTGCTAGTTTGAGAAGAAAGTTAACTATAGGAAAGAATGTAAAACAAAGGAGAGAATACTAAAAAAAAAAGTTAAAATATTTTTAGCATTCTACTGCCTGTAATCATTTCACTACAAAAGAAATTTTGGAGAAACAAGAATCTTGAGTACGAAAGCCTAGTAATATTGAGGGGAAAAATTAGCTTTATGTTAACACCCCAGGTCTGGCTACATGGCAAACAATTACAGTTATAGTTATTCAGATGAATACATAAAGGCCTGTTTATAAGACATTTGAGCCCTTTACTTTTGGAATTCATAGCCCACATTTGCTGATCATTCAGGTAAACTGCAGAACACATATTTCTTAACCCTTGCTTTTCTTTTTCTTTTTTTTTTTGGAAGTGGGGCTGTGGGAGAGATGTGAGAGAAATTGGCCGGTAGTGAGGGGAAAGGATGGTTGCAGAATTTTGGTTTAGGTTTTGCTGCTCATCAAAGTACTGATTTTAAGAAATAATAGCAGGCAGGAAGGATGGAGGCATGCAAATCTTAGGATAGATACTGTTTTGCAATAGTATACATCAAAATAACTAACTTTAAAATACATTTTAAACAGCTTTTCACTGGACTGCTAGATCATCATAAGTGTGCAGTAGCAGACATTATTTAACAGCAGGCTCAGAAGAGTCAGTGATAATTTGAGTGTAAAATATACTGATTACCGTTAGAGAGACGCATCAGTATGCCTAAGGAACAAAGCACAGAAATCTATGATGTTCCTCCATCCAATGGAAGACGATTCCAATGCCCAGGCTTCCTGGACTCAGTATTCCTTGTTCCATATCAAATTGTGGTATCTCGCGCCAATTAGGTATTTGTGGCATGCTCAGAATTAAGACTCAGGGTTGTTGTTTTTTTTAAATCAGTTTTAAACAACTCAGGCAAAAATATTTTCAGTAGATCCCGTAGAGATTGCTTGTGCTCTCAATTCATTTTAAATAAATATTAACAAAACAATTTTGGTCCAGTAAGCATTTTAAAGATATCTGACTGTGGAAGAGTGTGGGTGTGAGCATGGGATAAATCTTGGACCTAGGAGAGAATTACACTAATAATCATGCCAAACCCAAGACAGCTCTCAGGGAACAAATGTATCTTAATGATAGGGAATGACACTGATTGAATTCTGCTTATTAAAGGTGAATTCTGCAAAGCCACAAAACAGTATAAGGGTATTGCAATCTAAGGAGTCCACTGTATTTTATGGTTATATTCTGAAATATGAGCATTAATTTAAATTTTCACAGAAAGAATACATCTCCAATGTAGGTCTATCCAATCCCCACTGAAGGCAGAGGACCTTGAATCAGATGCCATGTGTTTTGTACAGCTAAATGTTCTGTTTTTTGCTTGGTTTGTTAAAAATGGGGCATGGTCACATATAGCAATCTCAGTTTGAGTGTGGATCACATTTGGGAATGTAATTTTCCACTGACAAAAATGAAATTACACATTAGCTCAAGAATTCAAGCAGACACAAAGCTATGATGCTGTTTTTAAGACATACTACAGAAACTATTTAGCTTCATATGAATTATTCCAATCTCATAAGAGGCAAACTTTCAGAGTATGTTATCCTAGAAGAGCTACAAGACAAATGTTTTACTGTGAAACAGAACATGACTTTAATAGTAACCTAACTTGCATTAAACTGAAAGGTTACTTGCACTCTTGATCTATAAGAGGAAATTAAAGCAGCCTCTCCTGTTCACATTGTTATATATCACTGTGGTAGTAATAGGTAGATAGATCAGTGAGCACTTCTGAAATGTTATGACAATTCACAAAACTTCGTTTTTAGAGAGAAGCTATTTTAGCTTTTAAGTCTATTTTTCAGATTAAAGGCTGCATGACTAAACGATGACTCAACAGGAAAAAAGATAAGGAATTGTTTATTCAGGAAGTATAACTGACTACAGTATATTTTTGATCAATCTCCCTTCCCCCATTTTTTCCTTGTAATTATGCTAATCTAGGTCTCATTCATGCTATTTTGCTGTTCACATGAAGACGGTATCTTCTCTCTTAATGGCTTGAATATCAACACCACACAAAGTGGAAATTAAGGACTTCTGTAAAATATTTACTTGAACACAAACACAAAGTCCAGTCTAGTAAATAACAATATTCTTTTAATAGATAGGACTGGACACAAAGGCTCTGTCTACACTGCATCATTTTTTCAGAAGAGAAACTGCAAATGAAGTATTCATTAGCATTTCTCGCACTCTTATTTGCATATTCTCTTCAAATCCTTTTTCCAGAAGCAGTTTTTGTGGGGAAAAAAAACCTTTTTGCGCAAGAACCCTTATTCCTTATTTTTTGGAACGCCGCCTCCACCCATTTTAAAGGGAAGTGGAGCCCAGGGTCAGCTGGGGACTCCCAGCTGATGCCAGGCTCCGTACAGCAGCGAAGCCTGGACTCCCCAGCTGATTCTGGGTTCTGGGGAGATGCCACAGGGATTCCGGGGTCCACTGAAGAATCCCCAGCAGATCCCGGGCTCCACGGCAGCAGCACCTTTGAATCACCACAGAGGCGGTGTTTTAAAGGGGCAGCCCTGGAGCCAGCTGGGGATTCCCCAGCTGACCGCAGGCTCCCCGTGGCATTTACCAGAACCCACGATCAGCTGGGGAGTCTCCAGCTGACCCTGGGTTCCCTTCCTTTGGGGAGCCCAGGATCATCTGGGGAATTCCCAGCTGACCCCGGGTTCTGCTGCCACAGGGAGTCTGGCATCAGCTGGGAGTCCCCAGCTGACCCCAGGTTCCGGGGAAGTGCCACGCGGAACCCGGGGTCAGTTGGGTAGTCCCCAGTTGACCCCAAGCTCCACTGCCCCCTTTAAAATAGGTAGAGGTGGCAGTTTCAAAGTGGCAGGGGAACCCAGGGTCAGCTGGGGACTCCCCAGCTGATTCCAGGTTCGACGGCTGCCTCTTTAGTGCACAGGTGGCATCAGCTGTGAAGCAGCTGCCCCTTTGAAAAGTCGCCTGGGATTTTCAAAGTGGCAGTGCCACACAGCAGCACTGTTACTTTGAAGTATGCTGTCTCCCCCCTCACACACACACACCTTTGCTGCCTCTATATTATAGAGGCAGCAAAAAGGGAGGGGGGAATATCGACTAGTCAAAATACTATCCGATAAGAAAATGCTTATCAGATAGTCGCCTAGTCTTTGACATCTTTAGGCTGGAGTTGGCATGTGGCTTAGCTGGGCTGCGGTGGGAGAGAGGAATTCTATGGAAGGGGAGGCAGGCTGGAAATTACCTCCCCAGGTCCGGAAAAATACCTTATCCGGAATCAGTCACGTCCTGGGGGTGCTGGACCAGGAAGGTCCACCCTGTAGTACCTCCATAATCACAAGAACTTTATCTAGTCTTTCTATTAATTTTTCTTATTTTGCTGTCTGTCTAGAGTTAAGTTAGACCCTCAAATCCAACCCAATCAGTTGTAAGACAGCAGAGCAAAACATACACTGGATAGGATTAACTTCCTCACACGCATTTTAATTTGCAGTCATATGAACGTGATATGAATACTCTCAATTCTGCGAGTGATTCTGAATTGCCAATCAGTATCCTCTTTCGTAAAGCTCACTGGATGAAAGTGGCAAATGAGGAAACAAAAAAAAACTGAACACAAAAATGTGAAATTCCATATCTTTATTTTATGTATTCCTAAAATCAAGGACCCTGGTACATATAATCCACAGAAAATATATCCGTTCTTAACTCATGATGATGTGTCCAAGTATTGCACATGTAGGGACTGTGTACTAACATAGTGCAGCCACTGCACAAAGTAGTAGTAAAGAATATAACTTTCTTGGTGACTTTTAACCCATCCTTTCAATTAACCCATAACCCAACATACACATACAATAGCATGTATTCTAAGCAAGCATTTTGGAACAGTTGATATTCTGAATTCAAAAGCTGTAGTTTAAAATGAAAATCCTAATGCTCTTATCTATAGCAGCTCTAGCTACACTAAAGTAAATATTTCTTTAGGGTAACAAAACACATTGCTTTACCCAGTAACACAAAGTATATGAGTTTTATAATACATATTACTATCTTTACTTGAACCCATACTTCTCTTTAATATATAAAGCTCTAAAAACAATTCTCCACTATTTTACAATTAAATTAAAACACTTCCATGATTGGTCTAATTATTGATTTTGGTCTCAATAATTTTAAACATTAATCATTCCATAAAAATATACAGTTCATAACATGGTCCTACCAATAACAAGAAGCCTTCCAAAACAGACTAATATCAGGTACTCAACCATGCAATTCAGTGCTCGGAATCATCTAACTGATAAATATTCATATTGCTTTTCAGACTCTACTCTCAAACATCTTTAAAATATTATCTTTACACTCTTACAATGCTTACAAACATCCAGAAAGGGTTCACATTTCTAATTTGCTTGTAGCAGCCATGCAAGTGTTATTACTTATACACTGGGCCAGCTAAGCATAAGCTTCATGCCATCATTTTGAAATTTTTTCGTCTTAGACCATCTTTATACAGTGAAATTAACTTTACAACTGACTTCATGTTGTTCCATGTGAACAGAGATTAGAGATGAGAGACACTCAGAACTGCACTTTTCAGTTAAGTCTCTAAGACTTGTTTACTTTCAGTAGGATGCACTTATAGCTGCCTTTCAGTTCAACAGACACTTAGTGTACTGTCAAGCTAACGCCAGCAGTATATTAAAAGGTGAAGTTATTAAAAAAAAAGCATAATGCAAACGTCTCAATCATGCTTAAAAACAGCACTGCGCCACAACTGACAGTGTTAATAGCCACATCTGGAGACATCTTATCTGCAGATTTCCTTGTTCCTACCTCAAAGTGGGCAACACCAAATCTTTCACATTTTCTATTCCTTGTATATTATGATGCTGCTCATTCTGGACTAGGAACTGGAAGAATCAGTTTTCTCCAGCTTAGAAGTAGCTAATGATAAATCACTTTTTTTTAAAAAAAAAAACATGGTATACGTATTTTTCTTCTTTTAGAATCTTATATACAATTCTGTGAGTTTTGTTAACTTTTGCAAGTTTTAGCTGTCCCAACCAGAATATTCCACACCACTGCTTACTCTTATAGAAATGAAAATTTTTATTAACGTCAGTATTAACTACCCCCAATCCTGTGTGTCTCATCTCTATAAACGATAGAACTGCCATTGGACAAATTCAAATCCCAGTTCAGACAAATACCTTTTAAAACAAGAAGTGGAAAAAACAGGGAAATACATATGAAATTCTCAGTTCACTGCATTCAAGATACTGTTCTTTTTTCCTGAATATAAATATATATGGACACGATCATGATGACAATCAAATTACAACTTCTCTCCAACTGCTCCAAAATTAGTATAAAATATAAAATACTGTTCCAGATCTTTAGATGTCAATTGTTAAAAAAAAAATCAGTTAAGTGAATGTTCATTGTAAATTATTTACAAAAGAGGTAACAAAATTTCCAGGTTAACGTTTATCATAAGTTATGATTTAGCACATAGAGAAATACAATGCACTCATCAAAAATACAAAATCCAGTACTTATCAACTACACAAGAGATCATGATTAGCTTTATGTAGCTGATGTACAGTATGCTTTTAAGAAGAAAAGTGCCAAAAGCTTCATAGGTAAAAGTATTTGATTTTTAATCAGTAAACACACACACACACACACACACACACAAATTGAAGACTTTACTTTAAAATTGATTAATGTCAAATAAAAATATTTAGAAAAACGATGTTACAAATGTAGAAGTACATCTTATTAAAAATGCATTTTAAAAGTCTATAAATTTGTCTGGTCAGTAAAGATTTTATCTGCAAAAGATCTGTAAGAACAACTGGATAGAAATGCTTATGTAAACTCTGTTTTCAAGAAGCATGTGTGTTTTAGAACTAAATGATGTAAATATGAAGGCATTTATAAAATCCCAAACAAATATTTTTAAAACGACAGCATCTTTTATAGTTCCGAGCAGTTCTTGTTAGGTCACAAACAAACTGTTAACTGTAAAACAGAATATAATTTTCTCCATAAATTAGAATGTTCAGTATTAGTTCTGTTGCCTTCGTTTTGCTGATCTCATTTTTTCAAATCGTGACTCCATCTCTTCCAGGACCTTTGGTGTGTAACGTACAACTAACTTAACCTTTCCTTGAGCTGCTTTCAACAGTTCTACTGCTTTTTCATGGTGTTCTCCTTCAACGCTCTGTAAAGCATAAACCATTAAATATCACATTAGCAAAAAATGCAAGTGTTGCAGAAGATTCTTTAGCTTCTCTGTTACTCAAAAAACTTCCATTATAATAAAAAACTAGAAATATGTCAGGTTTGAAACTGTAATGCAAGGGGCTCTATCACCCAGCTGAAGATCTGAGGCTTCAACAAGTCTCTAAACAAATGGTGATGTTCTAAACAAATGGTGATGTTTTCTTTTCTAACTAGCATTTTAAAAAAGGTAATGTGGAAATGAATGCCAAGCAACAAATTTATCACAGAAGACAAGGAACAAGCAGACATACAAAGAATCACTAGATTGTATACTTCACACACAAAATCAGAACAATAATGACAACATTTTAAAGCATGTTCCTTTAGGTTTTAGAGACTACATTTAATAGACTTTATAAAATTTGCCCTCCAGACAAATAGTACATAGCAACTTCTCCCCACCACTGCATCTGTTATAAGATCCAGGCACCATGGTTTATCATCAGTCAGCAAAAGTTTATTTTCCCAACTTTATTAAAATCATCAAACACAATGACATTACTATCCCAAGCCTACCTCCCACTGCTGCTATTAGAAGCTAGAAGGCAGGTGATGTACCTGTTGATTGGAGGGTTTCCCCGTTACTATAAAGTTACTTACAAAAAGAAAAACAACAGTTAAAAAAAACCAAGTTACTTCTCCTTCCATCAGATTTAGAAAATGTGCTTCGATATTTTCATTTTTTGTTATTCGGTTGGATGCACAAGTCGTTCTCTTTTAAAAATGGCATGAGAAGCTTGTAAGGATCGATGGTGTAAGTAAGAGGTTTGAAAAAATCAATTGCAAAATAATATGAGTTTAGGAACTAAGCAATTTTTATACAAATATAGATTAATTCTATTATAAACAAACAAAATACAATCAATGTTGCTAGTATAAAAATTCTGGAAGACCATTAAAATCTTTTAATGGACAAAAATCTAGTTTTCTATTATATTATATAATATTTCTATTAGCTAAATTCTGGCAAAGGCATAAGCAATATTAAGTGAAGCCTTTGCAATAATACACAGAAAATTTTAATTGCCAAATGTGACAGATATTGCAGCAACACGCCACGTCTTTGGGGAGCATACTGAAATACATTTAGGACTGTTGATTAATTGCAGTTAATGCGTGCAATTAACTAATTTACTAAATATTTTTGAATTTTTCTTTTACATTTTCAAATATAAATTGAGCACTGTACACTGTAGTCTGTGTTTTGACTGATAGCAATATATTTATTACAAATATTTGCACTGTAAAAATGAAAAAAGAAAAAATATTTTGTAATTCACCTCATACAAATACTGTAGTGCAAATCTCTTTACCATTAAAGTACAACTTACAAATGTAGATTTTTTTAATCACATAATTGCATTAAAAAACAAAATAATGCAGCACTTTAGAGCCTATAAAATCACATAACTGCATTCAAAAACAAAATAATGCAGCACTTTAGAGCCTATATGTCCACTCAGTCCTACTTCATGCTTAGCTAATTACTCAGACAAACCAGTTTGTTTACCTCTGGAGAAGATAATGGTTCTTGTCTACAATGTCATCTGAAAGTGAACAGATGTTTGCATGGAATGCCTAGACTGCAAGATATTTACATGCCAGATGCGTTAAAGATTCATACGTCCCTTCACGTGTCAACCACCATTCCAGAAGATGTGTCGATGCTGATAAGGGTTCTGTTCGATGATGATCCAAATCAGCACAGACCAATGAATTGCATCACCTCTGATATCCTGAGATAGCTATTCTGAGTGTTTAAACGCACCAGTTATTTCAAAATAACTGGTGCGCTCTTCCAGCATCCCTGTAACCCTTGTTCCACGAGCGTTAAGGGATTTGTTGAAACAGTGCTTTATTTCAAAATTTTCTAAATAAGCTATTTCAAAATAACCTCGAAATAAGCTTTGCAATTTGCATAGCACAAATTGCATTATCTTATTTCAAGGTAAGGGTGCTGTATAGATGCACCTGAAGTGGGTAGCATTATCTCCTGCAAACGTAAACATTGTTTATCTGAGTGACTGTCTATACAAGAAGGACAGAGTGAACTGTAGGCTCTGAAGTTTTACATTGCATTCAAAAATAAAAGTTTATTTGTACTTAATTCTACATTTGTAAGTTGCACTTTCACAGTAGATTGAATTTTTATTATCTGAATTGCAAAATACCATTTTTTTACGGTGCAAATATTTGTTATAAAAAATAAAGTTAGCATAGTACACTTTATATTCTGTACTGTAACTGAAATTAATATATTTGAAAATGTAGAAAACATACAAAAATGTATATAAATAGCATTCTCTATTTTTAACAACACATTTAATCACTTGAGAGCCCTAATTAAATGTATTCCTTTTGGTATAAACAGATGAGTTTGAACTGACTTGGGGTCTTTTTTGATTCAGCAAACAGGTAGGAATTTGGATTCAGGGGAACCTCAATTCTCCAAGTGTGACAGAGAATGGATCACTTGATGATTACCTGTTCTGTACATTCCCTCTGGAACACCAGCATTGGCTACTGTTGTACAAGAGGATTCCGGGCTATATGGACCTTTCGTCTGACCCACATGGCCATTCTTATGTTCTTGGACTGAACCCTGGAAAGCCTTTGTCCTATTGTGGCCCCATAAGACTGACAAGCAACTTCTGGTATGGTTAATGTGAGGTTTAAATCTATTTATTGTAAGGGCTCTTTTAAATGTTTTCTCTGTAATACTTTTGACCTAAGAATAAATTTACTTTACTTTGCTACAACTGTATAGTCACTGGTTAATAAAACAAACAACCAAAAGAAAAACACACTGCCATTGTCCTGAGAGAAAGCAATACACAGGGCAGAGCCTTAGACCTGGTCTACACTAGGAGTTTAGGTCAAATTTAGCTGCATAAGGTCGATTTTCTAAACAGCGAGTCCACACCACCAACCCCTTTCTGTTGACTTTAAGGGCTGCTGAAGTGAATTTCGGTGCTTCTGCTTTGCACAAGGAGTAACACAAATTTCAACCTTGCATAGTCGAATTCACGGCAGTGTAGACCCAGCGTTGAGAAAGTTTAGGTTTTTGGCTTCTGGGAGGCATCACATAATGCCCCACTCTGACCAGAACTTGTGCTTCTACTGATCTCCAGGTGAACAGGAAAAACCCTGGGAAAGTTTGAATTTCATTTCCCATGTGGCCAATGTTCCAAGCGCTCCTCAGAGCAGGTAGTACACCAGAGCAACACATGTGACCATGGCTTCCATAAGTTCAAGTTCCATTAGCTCTAGTTCCCAGATGTGCAAAAGAGCACCAGTCATGGAGTGTGCAGCATATCTTGGACTTCACTGAGGTACGGGGAGAGGAATCCATTATCTTGGAGCTCTGAAACAACAATGGAAATGCCAATATCTACGCAAAGAGAGAAAAATGCATGATGGAGAAAAGACACTCCAGGGGCCCCCAGTAGTGCCATGTTAAAATAAAGAATCTGAGGCAGTCTTATCACAAGACAGAGGCGGCAAATGGATGTTTAGTGCATTGCCACAAACATGCCACTTCTATGACCAGCTGAATGTGATTCTAGGGGAGGACCCGAAAAGCTTCCCAAACCAGACTGTGTAGTCCACCAAAGACACTGAGGGCAGTAGCGTAGAGGACAGCATGGTGGTAGTGGGAGGATGACGAGAATGGGTAGCCAGCGAGCCGTGAGCGCCAAGAACTTTTCATCACTTTGGAGCCAATCCCCTCCTTCCAGCACATCTTACAGTCGAGCATTGATCCCAAGGAGGGCTCTTCTGGTGACTGCACAATTTTTTTCTTACTACAAGCAGGTTAAGGCAATCGGATGTGGTCTGTGGCATATTCTGTGCCTACAGTGTGTGCCCGGGACCCAGAACAGCTTGTTAACGTGTCTGGAGATGGAAGGGGAATCCTCCCTGCACATCTCCATGAAGCTCTCAGATAAGAACTATTTGATCCTTGTCACAAGGTTTCAGGGGAGGCCTGTTTTATTCCACCCTCCACAGTAGGACACCTTCCTACAACAAGCCAGCAGTAAGTGATCTGATGTCACTGCAGCATAAGGCCCAGGTTTCTGGCCACATTCAGTCAGCATCAGCTCCCTATCACTCCGTGAGATTCAGAGAAGACTGGTATCTCACATGATAACCTGTATGGCAACCATAGGCTCCTGTGGGATGGGAAAGTAGCATTCTCCCAGGAAGAAGCTGAGAGCGCCACCGCCATGCCCCTGCCATCCCTCCTCCCACCTGCAGGATCATGCCTGCCTCAAAACTGCCATGAGCCCAGATGCTCCCTTTAGAACTCTGTGGTGTACCTGCTGTACAGTAGTCGATTTAAAACATAATTTTGGCCTTGCACAGAACATATCTCCATTGTCTTTAGAGAGATCTTTGCTGTATGTCAGCAGATTACGTTTATGTACCTCCTGTAATGTGTGCTCTTATAACTTTTCATTACAGTGAGAACAGCAGGCAGCTTGCTGTGTACTCCCCAAAAGCTGTCCATCTAGCCCAAATCTGCAGGCAAAAATGGACAAGAGAAGACATGTTTAAGGAGCAAATGGAGTGGAAGAATAAGTTCCTGGAGGAGATGCAGGCGCAGCAGCAGGACAGGAAAGTGGGAAGAATCAGATATCTTTCCACCCTTGACGGCTGTGATGGAGCACCTGGCAGACAGCCTGGAGTGGGACCCTCCCACCCCATTCAGAACAACTTTCCCTCCTCACCCAGCTCCATAGTGTTCACCCTGAGGGACCACAGGACACAAGGTGATGGTAGAGGGGGATCTCAAGGGCAGCCTCACACTTAACCTACGGGGCTTGGGAGGCAAAAGGTTGTCATCCTTGCATTTCTGATTCCTCCATCCCACCTTTCAGTTCCTGCCATGGACTTCTTTTATGCCTCTACTGTCTTCCCTAAATAAAAACACATGAACTCTGAACAACAGTCTCTTTATTGCTTGTATTACAGGAGTGGGGTAGGAGGATCATACGCTAACACACAATGCAGGAGCATCTTGTTGAGAGTAATGTGCGTGACTCTCAAAACTGGTCATTCATGAAACTTTCTTTCAAAGCCTCTCTGATTTGCACTGGCCTGTGTTGTGCTCTCATCACCTGGTGTCTGGCTGCTCAAAATCTCTCCCGACTGTGCTCTGCCTTAGTCCCTCACCCTGCCAGATAACTTTCCCTCTTGCTCTCACAAGTATTAGGGCGCACACAGCAGGCTGTCACCACAAATGGAATGATGCAGTCACTGAGGTGTAACCTAATCAGTAGACTCCTAAACCTTCCCTTTAAAAGCACATTCCACCACCATTCTGTACTTGCTCAGCAGTAGTTGAACTGCTCCTTACTGGTGTCCAGGCTGCATGAGCCACAGGAGCAAGAGATAGGCTGGGTCACCAAGGATCAATATTGGCATATCCACCTCTGATTTTGATTTTCTGATCTGGGAATAAAAAGCCACAGGAGCAAGAGGTAGGCTAAGTCACCAAGGATCAATACTGGCACATCCACCTCTGATTTTGATTTTCTGATCTGGGAATAAAATTCCAGCCTACATCTTTCTGAAGAGGCAGCAGTTCCTAAAGATGCGGGTATCATGGACCTTTCCCCAACCATCCCACATTGATGTCGGTGAAATGGCCCTTGTAATCCACAAGCACCTGCAGCACCATGGAGAGGTACCCCTTGCGATTTATGTACTCTGTGGCAAGGTGGTACAAAATGGGGATGTGCGTTCCGTCTATTGCCCCACTGCATTAGGGAACCCCGTTGAGGCAAAGCCCTCTGCTATGATATCCACCTTTCCCAGAGTCACTACCCTCCATCGCAGAATGGCATTGATTCCTTTGGTTACTTGTATAACAGCCTCCGCTGTAGATTTCCCCACTCCGAATTGATTCCCAAATGATCGGTAGCTGTTTGACTTTGTAAGCATCCACAGGCCAATTGCCACATGCTTCTCCACTGTGAGAGCGGGTTTCATTCAGGGTAGGTGAAAACCATTTTCAAAGTTCCAAGAAAGTGGCCTTGCGCATTCGGAAGTTTTGCAGCCACTGCTGACTGTCCCATACCTGCAGCACTATGCGGTCCCACCAGCCTGTGCGTGTCTGATGGTAACAGACCCATCAGACACTGTTTCCGGAGGATTGATTGCTGGCTGTGTTTCCAATTCACTCAGCCCAAGTGCTCACTTGTAGAGTGCCCATGGCACCCCAAGAAGGAGATTCCTCTTTGTCCTCTTCCTGATGCCTCCTCGTCCTCTTTCTGATGGAGTGATGTGCTTATGCTCTCAAAATACTGCACCATTAGGCGCATCAAGGTAGATATCAACATCATAAGAAGTGCCATGTTCGCACTGCTATGATGTCGGTGTGGGCAACCAGGGCCAAAAAGATTGTTTCCTGTTGACCTCAAGCAAGGAGGGAGAGAGTAGATGAGCGCATTATAGGACGTTGATGACATGAACCCATAAACCACCTTCTGCAAAGTTTTGGTCCCAGCATGCACCAGGAGTATAACCCAGAATGCAAAGCAGTGCAGCTATTGTGGGATAGCTGCCCCACAGTGTATTGCTCTCAAAGTTGACAGCAGTCTCCCTAATGGGGGACATGCTACTTCGAATTATGTTGAATTCTTGTGCACAGGGGGACATGGACCTTTGATTTTGCAAAATCAGGTGACCAGAAATCGACCTTAATAGGTTTGACCTTATCTCATAGTGCAGACATGGCCTCGGGCAAACTAGCTTGCTGGACAAATCACAGTGTAAGGCTGGCAGCTGTACAGCCTAAAACTCCCAGTCAAAAAGGAGAGAGCCTTGAGACCTCCACTTAAAAGAAGTGACAAGTGTGAGCCTAAAATGGTAAGTAGGCACTCTCAAGAGGCAACATAAGTGCAGTTACTCCTCAATTAGCAACACTAAGTTAATTCTGAATACAGTTATTCAAAACAAGTTGGTTGTATAGTATATATATTAAGATGTTAAGGATATACTTAGATATATTTCTTCATTTAAAATTGGAACATAAAAACAATACATCTTGGGTGTGCATTAACATATCACAGTATTATTTATTTTAAAATTCTATTTTTAAATTTATGTCCATTGTCTGCTAAGCAGAAGGGTTTTTTTGGAGTGTCTGTGGATGAGGAAGGCAGAAGCCAGCCAGCTTAGGCTCATGGATTCTGCGGCCAGTTCTATGCTAGCCTCAGTATTTTCTAAGAGTATGTTTTATTTTAGGAATTTCTATAGAGGCACACTGTCTAGCCCAAGGAATCCTGGTACTAGCAAACAAAAGTTGTAGCACTTTGACCATGACCTCTTCCTATTCCATATACTGGGGACTGAAGAATCAGGTGTCTTAAGACACCCCATGCAAAGGACATCTACTAGCTCTATTATGGCTACAAAAAAAAAAATCAGTCACCGAATTTAAAAATACACGCTACTTTTTACAAGAAGCTGGAGGAATGATTTTTAAAATCTCAATACTTAAGTGAAAAAAATCACAGCCTTTGCCAAAATTATTCTGTTGTTTGCGCTTTGTAACTTTTCTATTTCCAGCAGCATTTTTATCAGGACAATGACAACATCAAAGGACCTTCACTTCATTATCTTGTCTCACATTGAATGGTTTTGGTACCTACCTTACCATCACAATATTAAAAGTCTGCAATATCAACCACTTTAACACCACTATAACTAGAACTGAATTAATAATTGTTTATTACAGTGGATAAAAGCAAAAAATAAATTAAAAAAAATCAAACTAAAACTGATATTTTTCTCCATTTTTCTTGCTGAAATGAGAAAGCAAAAAACTCTTTTCAGTCAATTCAAAATGACATTTTGAAATGGCACATGCTGATTACAAATAGTGTGTTTCAAAAATTTCAAAACAAACCATTTTGACTTTTAATTTTGTTTTCAGTTTTTATTCAGCTGAAGCTATTCACTGAATTTAACCCCAATTTACAAATAGTTTTGGTTGAACCAAAACAGCTTTTTCCAGTATTTGTTGAAAAAAATATGTCCATCTATAACTGTAAAACTATTTAACAGGGCAATAATACAATTTGCTTCAAAATAAAGTACCTAACACTGTGCCTTATTTATCTTCCCAGGCTCTGAAATATTTCCTCATGTCATGGTATACTTGTATTATCATTTAGTGAACTCATGTACAACAACAAAGCAAAGTCCAAGAACTCTCACCATACTCAAATTTTGCCCAACGTCCTTGTCTCGATAATTATGAATCAACTACAAACAGCAGGATAAGATTTCTATCACATTGCAAACCCTAAAAAAAGGCACCAGGTTTATGCAAACTACAGTCTCTATGCACCCTCAAGTGGACATAAGTAGTTACTACAACTGAAAGTTAAAACCAATCCCTACCACTCCGTTTACAGAAAGAAGCTGGTCTCCACGTTTCAGTCCCCCATGTCTATCAGCTATACCGCCTGGAATAATTCGAGAGATATAGATTGGCGAGTTTTGCTCTTTGCCTCCCATAATGTTGAATCCAAGACCTTCTTCTGTTTTAGGCAACTCAACAACCCTGGGATGAGAATGACCTTCACTGGCAGCAAATGCAGCAACGGTGGCCTGAAAGAAACAAAACTATTTATTTTTTCTTAAAATTGGAACCTTAGAAAGTCTCTGCCTCTTATAGTCAGAGGTGGTAGATATTTGAAAAGGTCTTGCTAGCTATTCTGATATGGACAATGAAGTAAACAGTAATGTGTATTCTATGTCAACATCAGAATACAAAAACTAAGAGGCATTTTAATTAAATAAAAATGAATGTCATTTTAAGTAACTAGTCTTTCATGTCTTGTTCATACAATTGACAGATTAACAGGTCATATCAAGAGGAGACATCTAGTTCACCCTTTTTGAGACAAACTATAAAATTCCATTCTAGTTATAGTAAAACTTTTACCTTTGCTGTAGCATTAGCTCTCACTTCAGGGCTACTGCTGATGTCCACAGTTTCATATACGTGCTCATATACCTTTAAGACAAGGTTATTTAGTAGGTACGTAATTTAATAGGAAAAATGAATACATACTTTTTCTGCTTAGATGATGTGACAAATAAACTGCTATGCTAGATGTGTGCAAAAGATCAATTCTTCTGCTGCTACTCTCAAAACTGCATTTCCTAATTTATAGAGAAAGGGGGTAAGTGCATGAAAAAGAAACAGCTTGCCCTATTGGAAAGCCACCTCTTGCTAAGGCTACGTCCATAAATACAGCACTGCAACAGCAAGCTGTAACAACACAAGCTAGGCTGCTGGAGTGCATTTCATGAAGGCGAACTTTGTTGCCAGGAAAGCTCTCCCATTGACATAAAAAACCCACCTCCCTGAGTGATAGAAGCTCTCCTGGAGATACAGTACTGTGCAAAGAAGCGCTTATGTCAGTGTAACTTATGTCTCTCAGGGGATGGAATATCCCTAAACTGCTAAAGTTTTGTGGTTATACGCTGCAGTGTAGACACAGCCTAAGACAGGACCTACAATAATAAGTCACATCTTCTCCTGTGCCTTGTGAATGGGCCATTGAAGCACAGTGAATATGACCAATAAAATAAACAGCACTGCTCACTGAAACCAAAAGCAATAGTTGGATCAGCAGCAACTCCTGTCCACACCTGGAAGAACCACTCAAGAGTTCAGGTAAGGAGTGAAAGCCTTGGGGAAAATGCTAATTAATGTTGGAACAGTGTTAATCTTAAGGCGGAAACAGAAGAGAGTTCATATTTTTACTGACTCAGTGCATGTCTTTACTACTTAAAAAGATGCATTCTCTTATTGCAGGGTAACTACAATTTTTTTTTTAAAATGCAGGGTACAGGATTGCATGAGCTTGGGTAACTACAAATTTTTTTTTAAATGCAGGGTACAGGATTGCATGAGCTTTCTCATAACAATACATAAAGACAAGACACTTATTTCATTGCAAAGTATACTCACTGAGATTACACTCAAGTGAGTTTACCTTGTAACAAAAATGAAGTGTCTTTTCTTCATGGAGTCTTTAGCTTGTGATAGTTAGTTAACCAGAAGGTTTGAGCTGGCTTCTGGAACTACCCCCCATTGCAGCGTGGTCCTACTGACTAATCATATAGTCAATACAAATTGCATTGACTATACTATTAGCTAACTACCATTTAGCAATCTGAAGAAGTGGGTTGTGCCCGTGAAAGCTCATGATATCATTCTACATGTTTTGTTAGTTTTTAAGATGCTACTAGACTATTTGTTGTTTTTTAAGTTTTTCCTGTTAAATACTAACTTGACTACCACTCTGAAGCTTTTGAACAGTATATATGTTAAAAGCAGGCATATATCTCATATTTATTTGTTTATGTCAGGATAACTTACCTCCCTCACAGCATTACAGAACTCACTTTGAAGGACCCTCTGCAAAGCCTGCAGTTTTTGTGGTGGTACTTCTCCACTCCTCTGCAATTTTTCCAGTAATTCAATAGCTCTGCAGATGTCTGGGAAAAGATAAAATATTGATAATGATGAACTCAGAAAATGGTATTTTAGTGCATTCGTGCACACACGCACGCACACAACTTTGTAAGTCAGAATTAAGGATGCTTAAATGCATTTCCTTTAACACAATCATGAACTATGAAGGAGAAGACACCAATTAATAAAGGGGTTGGTGAACCTCAGGCCCGGGGGCCGGATGCAGCCCCCAGCTTGCCTGGATCTGGCCCCCCAGGCCTCAGCATTGGGAAGCCCACACTCACACTCTGGCCTGCTGCTACAAAATCTACCAGCCTAGACCCCATTAGGTTGTGGTGTACAAAGGGAATGTGAGGAATGTCTTTTGCCCTCTTAGTCAAGGGCCTCTCATTTTACTTCTCACTTGTGTGTGGCCCCGACTGATTCTTCTATGGGTCAGTGGTCCCTGACCCAAAATAGATTCCCCACCTCTGAGTTAATGCATCAACATCCAGGCCCTGCCTCCTACAATGATTCCTTCAATATCTCATCCTCACATGTTGAAATCTTCTTGTCTCTCTGATCCTTTGAATCCCTTTATAGTGGTATGTACCACTTTCAATGCTCCATCAATGTGTCAAATGTTATGGTCTCTCTTATTTTCCATCCTTTTTTGTCTAAAATCAACATTGATTAATATTACCATTCACAGATGGAATATGAAAGGGACTACACAAAATAGAAAAAAGAAATGAGTAAAAGTGCTGGTGTCAGTATACTGGATAACAGTGCACAGATGCTTTATCCACTCTCCTTCACTTGTATTTCTGGCTTCCTTGCCTTCCTGGCTCTACCTGCCATCCCAGTTACGGACCCTACCAACTCCAACCCCTCAGTTCTACTGCCTCTATGACTCCCTTCAACCCATATTTACCCATTGTGACAAAATCTACTAATATTCACACCCTACACACTACTTTAATAGTTTTGTACAAAGCATGATGTACAAGCTATCACCTGAAAACTCATAATTTACTGGTCAATATCATCTTAATAAAATATGTATAGAACCTTGTATATAAAGCTGTAAGATTTCCCTGTATGATGTTATTAACACATGTTCCAGACCCCAGAACCCTGCCCAAACTGAGGCTGGCAAACAGATCTGTCCTAAACAAAGGAATGTATACCTTGTTTAATTTTAATTTTGATAAATAAAGCCAAACTCAAATGGGTGAGGAAGAAAAGCAACAGAGAACATCCTTTCACACAGACTCTCTAACTCCTAGTACCCAGTTGAAAATGCTTTTCAAGAAGGGGACAAGGATCCAAAGGCACCCTTCTTTTTCTCCCTGCCATGACACACACAGCACCTGAACCGAAAAAGGAAGCTAATTCCAGACTCTGGACAGAGTCTATTTAGCAAGGCTGCTGAAAGTATGTGATGAGAAACTTTGCTTGAATCTTGAAACAGTGTGTTAAGGTGTTTTACTGTATTTTTCTTGTAGCCCATTTCTGACTTTTTGTCTCATTCCTTGTACTCTCTCTTTGTAGTTAATACATTTGTTTTATCTAATACAATGTCTTAACGCTCAAGTGTCTTGGTAATGTCATTTGGGTGACAAGTTATGTGCATATTATTCTCTGAAAGGAATAATGGCCTCAAATATTTGTACTCTGGGAATACAGCAGAATAGTGGTGCAAAATTCCCCCAGGGTATCTAGTTATAGAACATACAGCCAATGTGAGGAGTCTGCCCTGCTTTTTGACGAGCTGCTCTGTGGCTGGCACTCAGTTGTGAACCACTCCAGACAATTTGATGCTCTTTTAATAGGGATGTGTAACACTGAAATTTTCAGCAGTTATATGCAGGCCAGTAGCCACCTCCCGGGGAGCTGATGCGCCCCAGAAGCCGGTTTTTAATGCACCGGCTGCCACCTTGCACTGCTGCCTCTATTAGAGGTAGCATGAGACAGCAGTGAGGGGTGGCAGGTGGCTTTTAAGCCAGCTCCCCATACGTACCGGATCCTGCCCGCTGCTCTGTGCTACAGCAGTGCGGGATGGCAGGCGGCTCCCAGGGAGATGGACCAGGAGCCCTGTGTAGCAGTTTGGGTAACCAATATATCAGGAACCCTTTTATACAGCTACACTCTAGGGAAGTGAGTAGTTGACTAGACTACTTGACTATTCATTTCCCCCCTCCCTTGCTGCCTCTGTATCAGAGGCAGCATGAGGTAGCAGTGCGGGGTGGTAGGTGGCTCCCCAGGAGTTGGTGTGTGTGGGAGCCAGTTTTTAAGCCAGCTCCCTGCGTGAACCAGCTCCTGCCTGCTATCTCTGTAATGCCGCTTGCTCTCCCGCACTGCTGCCTCTATTAGACACAGCAGTGAGGGTGGGCGCAGGGGAGGCTGCCACATAGGAGAACCTGTCCACAGCAGACCCAAGCTCCTCGCTGGGACCCCCTGTGGGCAGGGGCTGCTGCTGGAGCAGCCTCTGTCCATGGCCAGCCTGGGTTGCCATGGACAGGGGCTGCTCCAGCCAGGCAGGCAGCCCAGCTCAGTCCCAGCTGGCACTGGGTCCAGGACCTACCCCGCCGTGCTGCTGCAGTGGGTTAGTTCCTGGACCTGGCATGAGCCGGGACTGAGTGCCTTCCCTTATCGACTAATCATGTGGTTGATAAAAATTCTATTGACTACATGATTAGCTAATTACCTGCCTCCTAAAATCCTTACCACACTTTTGCATCTCTATTTTTTAGTACTAAAACAAGTACTAAAATGCCTGAAAATACTTTTTTTTTAAAATGCAAACTTGATTTGATTGAATTTTTTTTCAAATCTCAAATCAGGTTCTGTTAAATTCCTCTGACACAGTAATTTCCAACCAAAATCAAACACTGCAAAAATCATTCTATTATATAACCATAGCATTAGTAATGTTCTGTGACAAGATTAGACACTATTACATATGCTGTGGAGTTATTGCTTTCTATAGCAAGTCTTCTATTGTTTGCACTTCACGCTGAACTGGAATGTACTGTCCATCCCATCTAAAGCATTTATAATCTGATTACTAGTATGTGAATGACAAATACCATATTTTGAAACAAATGCTTTTTGCCAAATACAGGCAGTCCCCGGGTTACATGGATCCGACTTACATCGGATCCCTACTTACAAACGGGGTGAGGCAACCCCACACTAGCTGCACCCCCCCCCAGCAGACCAGGGAGACGCGGAGCGGCTTTTCTCAGCAGACATCTCAGCTTGAGAATAAAGGACTGAGGGAAGTGAGGTGTGGAAGAATAAAACTGAGCTCTGGAGAAATGTTTGGCTAGAGTTTCCCCTACAATATGTACCAGTTCCGACTTACATACAAATTCAACTTAAGAACAAAACTACAGTCCCTATCTTGTACGTAACCCGGGGACTGCCTGTAGATATTATGCCAGGATTTGGCTACCTCACCTCCATTCTTCAGTTTCTACTATTCAAGACAGGAACCTGTTCAAAGTGTTTTGTTTGCAAAAAGCTCAGTAAACAGCCCAGATCAGTGGTTTTCAAACTAGGGATGTTAAATTTAGATGAATCAGCTAATCGAATAATCGATGCAATTTGATTAGTCAATAAAGGCACCTCTGCCTTTGCAGCGTAGTAACAGACCCAGGGTTCTTGCTACACTTCAAAGGCGAAAGCATTGCAGGGCTCATGGGGCCAGTGGGGGACTCAAGCAGCAGAGCCGCATGGAGCCTGAGGTCAGCGGGGGAGTCCCCAGTTGACCCCAGGCTGAATGCGGTGTTTCAAAGCAGCAGCGCTGTGTGGAACCCAGGGTCTGGTGCTGTGTGGGGCCCAGGGTCTGGTGCCGGGCACCATGCGTTGCTGCCACTTTGAAGTGCCGCCACCACTCCCCCGCTCCTTTGATGCCTCTTTCTGATAGAGGCAGCAAGGGAGGGGGGGAGCGACTAGTGTGTTGACTATCTGATAAAAATTTGCTTATTGGATAGCCAACTAGTCAATCACATCCATATTTCAAACTATGGGTCGCAATCCAGCACTAGGATGTGGAATGTCAGGTACTGGGTCTTATTGCTGCAGGGAGATCAGGTGACCAATGGGGGTGCTAAGGCAGGCTACCTCCCTGTCCTGGCACTGCAGATTGCGCTGTGCCCCAGAAGCAGCCACTGACAGGCCCAGTTCATAGGTGGGGGGTGAGAGGGTGTGTGTGTGGGGGGGAGCACAAAGGGCTTCTGGGGTGCAGCAAGGTCTGCAGTGCCAGGAAAAGCAGGAAGCCTGCTTTAGCACCCTCGCTGCATTGGTGATTGAAAATTGTTCAAGGTAGCCCCTCCTGACCCAGCTCTGACCTCCACCCCCAAAGCCAGAGCCCCCTCTTATACCCTAAAGCTCTCTTCCTCAGCCCCACTCTGGAACCCACACTCTAGTCAAATAGTGTTGGGTGGCAGGCATCAACAATTTTCTTCAACTGGGTCACTAGAAAAAAAAAGCTTAAAAACTACTGGACTAGACAATTTCGATCTGCTCTGGTAAGGTATTCCACAGTCTAGGATCATGGTGTCCTACATGCTAGTTACATGTGACTATTTCGCTAGTTAACTTTAAATTAATGGAGATGCCTATCTCCTAGAACTGGAAGGGACCTTGAAGGTCATCGAGTCCAGTCCCCTGCCTACACAGCAGAACCAAGTACCATCCCTGACAATTTTTGCCCCAAATTTCTAAACGGCCTAAACTTGGAACAATATGGCTATTTGGCCAGTTGAGTGTAACTAGCTGGACATCAGGGCTACGTCTACACTGGCAGCTTCTTGCGCAAGAACTCTTCCACAAGAGTGTGTCTACACTGGCATGTGCTTTTGCGCAAGAGCATCCATGGCAGTGTAAACGCTCTCTTCCGCAAGAAAGCTCTGATGGCCATTTTAACCATAGGGGCTTCTTGCTCAGGAAATTCATGTTGCCTGTCTACACTGGCCTCTTCTGGAAGAGCTCTTGCACAAGAGGGCTTATTCCTCATGGGGAGAGGAATAACTCTTTCAGAAGAAGCCCTGTTTTACAATGCTGTACTGTAAATTTACTTCTGGAAGAATGCTCGTGCAGTGTAGACAGCTGGCAAGTTTTTGCGGAAGAACGGCTGTTCTTGCGCAAGAAGCTGCCAGTGTAGACATAGCCCAGGGGTATAAGAGCTGGAACTGAGCATGCCTTATCTCCAGCTCTCAAATTTAATTACTAGGAATTCAATTTCCATATCCCTCTGAATGCAGCTGTATTGGTCAATTACAAAAAAAAAGGGGGGGGGGGAGGCACTGACATTCTAGCCCTAGCCCAAAAGCATTTTAAAGATTAAGCTCTGGAAACAAACAGTAAGCTAAAAAGCCAGAGGCAGAGCGACCAGGGGAACGAGGCGGACAGGGGGCTACAGACAGGGGAGTTTAAGAGGGAGAGCAAGAGATCCCGCTGCTGAACAGGCTACCAGGTGAGAGAGTACTAGCTGTTGGTGTAAGTGAGTTTCCTCCACTGTTTGAATTTTATTTCTGATTTCAGGTGACTTCAGTTTCAGTTTCAGCTGCTGTGGCAGTTGGGACTGAGTGCCTGACCTTTGTTCTCTTGATTGTTCCCTTGATTGCCTCTGGTCAGCCTTCCCCTGTGTGACTCACAAGGGGGCAGCCCTGACCTAGGCAAGCAGGCTTTAAAAGCCAGAGGCAGAGCGACCAGGAGGCTGCAGACAAGGGAGTTTAAGAGGGAGTTTGAAAGAGGGAGGTTTACGATGGTTAGGAAGACCCGCAACTCCTGTGCCAGCACTGCTTAGGTCTCCTCCACCTGCGCCTGTAGCCAGACAGAGCGCCTGAGCATGGATGCCTCTACCCAGATCCTGGTGTGGTTTTGCAGGGACTGTGGCTTGCAATTCCCACTTATTGATATCCAGGCT